TCATGTGGAAGCATGCTAACTTACCACAGCTGTGGCAGTGCCTGCTCCTAATGATGCCCAACTCATGATCAGGGTCAACATGCCACATACCATAATACTGAAATGAGAGGAATAAAAAGAGAAAGGAAATAACAGTGAGACATTTTTTTAAGAGATTTTACTTTTTTTTTCCTCGATTGTTTGGGAAAAGTAAGATTCTTTTATCTATGTTTTTTTAATAAAACCTCAACAAAAATGCTCAACAAAGCTGAATAAAGTAAAAATTGTTGTTGTGAAGTTACAATTTGACTTTTTAATCTGACAAAAGTCTTGTCGCCAATATTAGAACTTGACTTCTTATTGATCATTTGGAACAGAAGTGGCTTATAAGAAAGACAAAAGCTTCTAGATTATGTCTGTTTTACCAAAATAAAATATAATCATGTTTTATTTTTAATTATTTAATAAGGACAGTAAGGTCAGCTTAGACAAAAGTTTGCTTAGACAAGAGTCTTGTCACTTAACTGAAATAATGTACAATATAAAGGTATGGTGCAGCGGAAAAAGAATTAATGACTCCCATGAGCTCGGAGGACTGCATCCATACATCTCTGCAATGACACAAATAAGTAATTAATAAAGTAATCTAGAATGTCAAAGAAAGCATTCTTCTGTGGATTCATCTTCAATGCCTGCTTCATTTTAGCCTAGACATTCTCAATAATGTTCATGTCTGGTGACTAGGCGGGCAATTCCTGGAGCACCTTGACCTCTTTGCTTTCAGAACCATGGGTGTGAAGACTTAAGTAAGAGGAGAAGCGCTATCCTGCTACAGTATTTGTTCTACCCTGTGGTTTATAATGTAATGGGCAGCACAAATTTCTTGATACCACAGGCTGTTGATGTTGCCATTCATTCAGCAGATCCATCACATGTCCCCATATTGAATATTACCCCAAACCATGATTTTTTTCTTCACCAAACTCAGTGCTTAATTTGTGGATTGCGAGGTCCCAGAACAGACTGAGGTATCAGATCCGGCATGTTACCAGAGGATGTAGAGGTGCCGTGCACAAAACTAGAGGGGGGGGGGGGGTAGCGGAGGAGTGTCGCAGACAGAAGTGAAGAGAGGGGGGATTTGTTGTGGAAGAAAGTGAAGAGGGTTAAGGAGTCGTGAAAGAAAGTGAGCGTGAACAGCGGACTGCGAAGGAGGGTGGTTGAGAAGGGGGATCAGTAAAATGAGGTGCCGGATCAGAATCCAGAGGTGCTAGATTCGGTTCCGGCGTGTTCCGGCACAAATTAAGCCCGACTGACTGACTTCTGTGAGAATCTTGGGTTAATGGGGGTTCTAATAGGTCTTCTGCAGTAGTTGTGATGATTAAGATGCAGTTCAACAAAAGAGTCATGGGAAAAATCTACCTATGTTATTATTTGTTGTTCATACAACTGGGATCAATGACAATATATATATTTATATATATATATATATATATATATATATATATATATATATATATATATATATATATATATATATATATATAACTTTTTTTTTCCCCCAACATTATCGTGTTCTTAAATTAGAGAGGTATTAAGTAATTCAAGTTAATGATATACTGTGCTACATCCATAAAATAATATTGCCAACAAGTCTTGTAAGAGAATATTCTTGTAGATCTGCTTATTTCTATTAAACTTGAACACTTCCATTAAAACACCATTTATTACCTAACTTCGAAACAAGCAAATATCAACTAAGCTTGATTATATTAAATAAATCCAATGTTACTTAAAGGTGCCATAGAGTGCAATGATTTAACCGTCCTCTAATACCTACATAGTATGTAGGTATAAGGCTTAGAGCAGTTAAAAATACCCCAGAAATTGTTGTATATGCCTATTTATAACCACATATATTCTTATTTATACCCCTCAAAAAGCATGGTTTTGACCAAACTCCAAATGGTCAAAATATAATTGAGATGGAGTGAGATCTTAAGGCAACTAAGCCTGTTCCACAATTACTGCTCCTACGTTATGTGCTATGAATAAAATAAAGGCAAAATTGTAATTATACCCAACAGGAGGGATTAACAGAGATGTGTTTAGAATTGTATTTTGCAAGTTTAACTTGTAAGAGAAAGCAGACAAGAATTAATATTGAACTAGATGAGTTCAATGGCATTCTTTTAATATGACCTGAGTGTAGTAAGAGCTATGTAATATGACATGGTGCATAAACATGCATTAAACAGTTAAACACCGCAGTCTACATGTGATTGTTGCCTAATTACAAACATACTTAAAAAATTCCACAATATACATGTTAAACTATCATTCATTCATTTTCTTTTTGGTCCTTTTATTATATTTTAAATTAACAAAAGATAATACAATCATAATATATATATATATATATATATATATATATATATGCTGCATTTTGCATTCTGAGGACCTGTTAAGAGACGGAAGGGTGCTTGTTTCTAATTTCCTCTTCCTGACTCTCTTGTTTTCAAAATAAGAGTCCCACATAGACAGTATGTTTAACAAAATAATATAAAAAAATCTATTTTTAATAATTGTAAAAATAAGAGAAAACATGATCATTGTTGTAACATCATTACAAAACACTGTGACCAATCAAAAGTAGGATGTGTCATACATTATTAATAATCTTAAGTGCAATCTAACAGCTGGTGTTCAGTTCCGATTGGCCTGTTTTTTTAACATGATTTTACACTTAAAATATTTATATGAGAAGTAGGAAACAATGGAGTTTGTGGCTTATGATAGGTAATTTCCATATACTGAATCCTTATTATTCAGCTATTACTAAGTATATACAGATTTTCATTCTATGGCACTTTAAGAGTCACTGATCGGCATAAAATTTAAAAAAAAATCACTCATAAATAAACATAGCATACATAAAACTCTAATTGAAAAGAGTCATTCAAAAGGATGCAAACCAGAGATCAAGCACGTGCCCATGTCAGTGATCACGTGAGTAAATAAGCAGTCAAAAAAGACAGTGATAAATGGCATAAACGGCTCCCTTGTGGTTCTGGAAAATGGAGCGAGATTTCCTCAAAACAGCCTCTCTCTCGTCTAAGGATGGTCTTAAAAGCACCAATAAAGCGGATTGGAAGCACGTAATAATTAGTTAAGGGCGAGCACATGCTCACGCTGGCAGAGAGATCAATAAGCATTAGAGGGGTAAGTGGGGATGGATCTAAAGGAGCTTCCAATAAGGCAAACGGGGGAGAGAGAGAGAGAGAAAGGCTTGAGATTAGAGGAAATGCAAGGCTCGCTGGCGACTGGCTAAACCACAACACTCAATGCACTCAGAGTCTCTTCGCTGAGGTTTGTTTATCTCAGAAGCTGTATTATTTTACAGTACATCCGTTAAGAATTTTAACTAGCACTGATTAAAAAAGTGACAGTTCACCAAAAAAAAATCTAATTTTCTCACCTTCAAGTGGTCCCAAACAATTAAAATTTATTTATTTATTTTTTGAACACACAAAGTCATTTTGAAGAAAAAAAGCTCCTAACATTATTCAAAGTACCTTATTTTGTTATCAACTGAAGAAACTGAAAAGGAAGAACGTTAATTTTTGGGTAAACTGTCCCTTTAAAAATGAGAAAGGAGTATATGCAAGATATAACAATAAAGTATTATGCACATAAAACATCAAGCACACTTCTAAATATATATTTGATTCTATCCCCACACTGACGTCAAATGGCTTCATGTTTACAAAAATGGGTCATGATTTTTCTTTTGCAATGGGAACACTCACAGCCGGATGTCTAAATCAAAGATATTTAAAGCACTTACACTGTGAGCAGCCATCGAGACTGCTTTGCCAATGCCAGACATGCTAGAAGGCAGATGACTAGGTCCAAAATCAACAGCAACAGGTACGTCAACCATCTGAAAGCAAGCAAATGTGAGAGCAGAGATATTTTATTCTTTGAACTCTCTTTGTCATGTTCAGTGATATGAAAACAGATGCTGTTTGACATGCAAAATCATGTTTTGTCATTCTTATTCAAAGTTTCACTTATTTTACGAATATATTGGGAGTCTAAGCAACTATTATTTATATCCGACACAAGGGGTGTACTACAGAAAGATCCTATCAAAGGGCTACAATGGAAAACGCTTTGTTTTTAAAAATGTATGATGTATTTTCTTGACCAATTAAGTATATTCACTTTTTTTTTTGTCAAATAGAAAGAAAAAGTTTTTTTTTACAAAAAACTTTTATTACAATTATGCAATTACATATTATATTAAAAAAAACATTTATGAAATAATCCCATCCTAAAACAACAAATTGTTTAAAATAAAGTTATTGTCTTCAACAGAACAAAGTACGGTTGGGCAATGTCGATCAATTTGGCCTTGTCAGATGTCTAATATGAAACATAGCGATGGGCAATGATATCGTCGTCATTAATTAATTCATAAAAAATTAATTTTTTGTAGACTACCGTTTCAACTATCTGACCCGCATGGTCCGCATGGTCTTTGTTTTACCCACAACAAAATCATAAATAAATAAAGATAAGTTACACACAAATTACCACCTGTCAATTACTTTCCATGGGACTGTATGTATGGCATGTATAGGCAGAGTGATCTGTGTTATTATAATGGCGTCGACAAACTTGGTTGGTAAAAAAGGTGCACAACCAACAGAAACGAACCAACAGAATCTGAGGTTTTCGTAAAAAATTACTACTAAGTGCAAGTGTGAAAGCAAAAGATTGAAGTTGTTTACTAATGGCGTGACATGTTACCTGATAGATTCAAAAGACCAAAGAGTCGTTAGATAGAAACAGGATTAAAAAACGTGATGTTTAACAACTACAGTGAGATGCGGCAAGCAGTTTATCCTTGATAAACTGTTCGACATGCACTGCTCTCTTGACTGCCTGGATCTCATACATTCTGCAGCTCATGCCTGTGTGTGTGTTTGTGTGTGTGGTCACATGATCTGCATTTTCAGTGCTATAGTGTGGTGGGAGGGCTCTTCAGAAATGCTAGATGAAACCCCAGTGTGTACGTGGATCATTTTCATTTTAAAATGCCATTTTAAAACTAAGACATATTAGTGTAAACAGAGCTTAAGTGTGTATTTTTTGTGAGCAGGTTGCTGCTGCAACGAAGGCAGGGTGGAGGATTGCAATGCTGACTCAGCATCATGATGTCTATCGGCCATCAGCGATGGATGATGGCATCGTCTATTAACCCAACCCAAGAACTAAGGATGATCCTCAAGATCACTCAATAACTAAAATAGTTAAATCTATTTTTAAATGAGCTCTCAACATTATTTTTTTTTTTTAAATACGAACAACACCAACATGCGAGGAACCTTGTTTTGTATAATTATACACAAAAACTACACCAAATAAACTAGAAAGAAAGAAATAAATAAAAAGAAAGAAAGAAAGAAAGAAAGACAGAAAGAAAGAAAGAAAGAAAGAAAAAGAAAAAGAAAGAAAAAAAAGAACGAAAGAAAGAAAGAAAGAAAGAAAGAAGGAAAGAAAGAAAGAAAGAAAGAAAGAAAGAAAGAAAGAAAGAAAGAAAGAAAGAAAGAAAGAAAGAAAGAAAGAAAAAGATTGTTTAGTAACCATGTGCTATTTTCAGTTAGAACCACAATTTGGAATAAAACTATTACAGAACAGCCCTTACTGTGTTGTCTTATCTTAACCACAAATTAGAAGGTGGTATTAGAAAAAATAATCTAACTTAACCAACAAAATGCTTCAAAATAATAGTCTTAACTTGAGGGCAACCCAACAGTTACCTTCAAAGTTATTTGAAAGCTAAAACCAATAAAAGGTTTTTTTTTTTTACATCTAATGATAATTGAGAATGAAGAATAAAGATGTTTAATGATAGTGTGACTCTTGAAGAACCCTGAATGTGTTACATTTTGATGGGAGAAAAAAAAGAAAGAAAAAACTTTCACTTTTCACTTGAAAGCGAAAGTGACCAATGTCTTATTTATTTATTTATTTTTAACGTGATGACAAAATGTAAAATGAGCCCATTTAAACAGAAGATATAATTTTGTGAAGTAGGATAATTCAGTTTAATTCAAAATAATCCCAAATCCCTTGATAGTACAGACTTGCTTCTGTAATATAAATTTGAAAAAAAAAAAATTCATTTTATCTTATCCCAAAATTTCTTTAAAGGGCACCTATTTCACCCCCTTTTCTTTTGTGTCTCCAGAATGTGTCTTTAAAGTTTCAACTTGAAACACCCAGATTATTTATTATACCTTTTTTTAAATATGGGATATACAAGCTGTTAGTACACTGTAGCTGCTTTTGTTATGTGTGCCTTTAATGCAAATAAGCTGGTTCTCCCCACCCACTGTTCCCACGTGCAAGTCAAAGCCATAGAGATTGCTCTGTATTGCTCTGATTAGTGTAAACTTCACGTAGATAAACAGCACAGTGACAGACAAGAATGAAGCAGATCTCGTTGACTACAGTAAAAACTTTCTCTATTGTTGTTTGATATATTTGTTGTGGAGTTAATTCAAGCCTTTCTGCAATAAGTCACACACAATTTTGTTATAAAGTTTGCATGTGAGCACACACACGGCAAATGTGACAGGATACACTTTAATAAACAATCCGGAAAACATCAGTTATGTTAATGTACAACATAAACCTGACTTAAGTCCACAAAAAACAGAATTGAAGCATCTTCTTTTATAGTTGTGCGGACACTATGAGCTGTGGGGATGAATTAAATAGAAATTAAAAGTAAAATTTATTCTTGAGGGGCAGATGATCAAAGAGAGCTGAACAGATCTTTTAATCCTAGTTGCTTTGTGCACATCCTGTCTACTTCTGAACATGACTATACGCGTTACTATGGGGTCATGTTAATACACATCTGTCAATCAATTTGGTGGGCAGGTAAATCGCACTCCTACATCACGTTTTGTTGGGCCTCAAAATGACAGGGATTTAGAATCCAGTTTAATGTCGAAAGAGACTTATTTTGTTTCTCTTACTCCAATATGACCATGGACACACCATATCGACACACACCTCTGTCTAAACAGCTTACAAAAGTTGATTTTTATCATAGGTGCTCTTTAATGTGCCTCTGATGGACCACAAACCTTAAGTTGCACAGGCTTATTTATTTCCAACAAAAAAGTTGTATGGGTCAAAATAATTATGAAAAAATCTGAATATTAGGTAAAAAAAAAAATGTCCCACAAAGACATTTTGTAATGTTTCTATTATAAAAATATCAAAAACATTTGTTTTATTAGCTACACATTTAATCTGCACAACTATAAAGCCAATTTTCTCAATATTTAGATTTTTTTTTTTAACCCTCAGATTCCGGATTGATAAAAATGACCTTTTATGCAGTGTGTAACACAGCTCAAAGGGAATGAAAACATCCAGCTGAGGTTTAAATCTAAAAATGAACTGTTTAAAATTATTGATACTTTAAAAAAAATAGTCAACTCAAAGTCAAATAAATCAATCGTGTTGGTTTGGATTTTTTGCCTGAACGTGTCGATGTCAATATGGTTCATCACTAACTATGTTGTGCCGAATCTGGTAAAACATGAACCCACCTTTCCCTTTCCCACAACAATACCACAGTATAGCCTACCTAGTGCTGTATTTGTTCCAGTCATTTTTCAGATTTTTGATACATTAACCTACACTGCAATGCAGGATTTGTTAGCTGTTTGCTATTAAAAGAAGGAGCAGCAGAGACTATTATATATGGGACTTGGTCAGACTTTGATAGGGACTTTGTCAGTAACTGTTACAGTTCATATGAACCATTTTTTTCTGCTTCCAGATCATAACATGTACAGTAAGTAAAATCGCTGCCTCGTTTTTTCTAGTTTGCAAAATATTAGTGTGTTGTAACTTGTAATCACACCGTATGGCTTGAAATCACTTATCCATTATAGATCAGTGCTTGTACTGTATCTCACAGGTTAAATCTGTATGGGGCTATTCACATTGTGCATTCAAAACCACGTTAAAAATGTGCTTCTTTCTTTAACAATTTAAATGCATCACTGAACTTGCAATTCTGGCCGTTTGTCTTTGCTATGGCCACCATCAGCTGTTCCCATAAATGCATGGCGAGGTCAATTTTCAAAATAGTTCAACGTTTGTCACTGTGTGTATTATTACTGAACGTGTGTTGTTGTTATTACTTGGTGTTAGGTTTAAGAGTAGAGTAATAATCGGCTGTTTAACTGCATTGCTTTATTGCACTCCTGCATTGGGCTCTCTAATACTACTATTTCGTAACCATGGTGAGCATTTCAGTCTCGCCCTGAACCCAGTCAATCACAATAGACTGGGTCGTTGAACCAATCAAAGCAGAATAGCCAAATGCAAAGGAGGAGAATCGCTTAACGAATCATATAGGAGTCGTTGGGATAATTAGATAAAAATGAATGCATATTATAAGAAAATGAAAGTGTTTTTTTGAGCTTGCATGTATACCAACATTTTATTGCAGATCCCCAAAAACGAAATATGAACTTTTATAATGCAAACCAAAAATCAATGGAAAGCTTATTTATTTATTCTGATGCAGATGGTGTATGAATCTCAATTTCGATGTTGTAGTCCATGGTCACATAATTTGTTTTAAATGTAATTTTATTACTCAAACTAATTTAAAATTAATTGGACAAATATGATTGCATTTTTAAAATAACTCAACAGTGCCCTTTTTAAACCTCATCTTGTGTGATGTATGTGTGTGGGAGCATGCTTTCAGCAGGTCTCTAAGTATGACTTTTAAAAGTGGGTGTGTATGACACTCAAATTACTCTTCCGCCTTCTGTAATATGTTTCCCATCCATTCAGTAAATAATTGAACAGACCAAATAGACATAAGTATTTTATGAGCTACTGGTATGTGCGAACAGACAATCTGCCAAACAGGACCACACCGAGAATGTGTTAATTTTACAGCTTTGAGCTGCTGAACTCATTACACTTTAATCCTTTATTTATGAAATTACTTAATTGCTAGGTCACTGTTTTCTAACAAATCTTAGCACCAACAAATTCACCAAAAACCTGTAAAAACAGTAGCTGCATGTCCGTTTTCAGTGCTGCACTACTTCATTGTGTACATAGTCTGTGGAATTCCTGGCAAACCACAATCCGATTAGTAATCCTTCACAATGAGGGCTCAAAAATGACCCTCTCTCTTTTTCTCTCAAGATGTATGAAAAAATATGGAGACAAAGATGTATAATGATTCAAGGGAAGGAGGCCAAAGGTTGTGCTATTAGATTTGCCTATGAGTAATGGAGGAAGAGAGGTTTGACGGTGGGTGCTCAATAGCACAGTCCTTTTGCTGCTTGAAACACTAGCTCCTTGTCAATATATGCACTGCCAGTTCATAACACGCAGGTCTACAATTTGAAATGTAATCTCCTTGGAGGACACGCAAATCAATTTAACAAGACTGATCAAAAAGGCCAACCTAGTCCACATCTGATCCAGTAGTTGTGCCCGTAATCATAAAGATGTAGGCCAGAGTTAGCATAGTTAAAGAGATTGTTCACCTAAAAATTTAAATCATATCATCATTTACTCACCCTTGACGGTCTCTAACTATTTTGAAATTCAACAGAAAAAAAAATCTATTGAAGAATGTTGAAAAACCGGCATCCATAGATGGAAAAACAAATACTATGGAAGACAATGGTTAGTTATATTTATTTATTTAAAATAAAAAAATAAAAATAAAAAATTGGTGTAAACTATTTATTTAAAGCATTACCCCTTTCAAAACATCTTGATTCTGGCAAAAGTTGAAAAATGAGCAAAGCAGACTGAGCAACTATACTGAGGTATAAGGCTCAAGGTCTTAAAATGGAGTCATGTGTTTAGGGAGTTAGATAAAACCTTCACACAGTAAAAAAAAAAAAAAAAAAAAAAAAAAAAAAATGCATGCTTGAGATAAAGGACCAGCAGTTTCACCTGAGAGATGAGTTGGGCAAAAAGTTACAAGAGGTAGGTCACTTTGAGAAACAGGAGTTTCTGGAACATTCAGAGATATTTATGACCCACATTTACACTGGAAGTCTCTAGAGTAGGACCAAAAGCTTATCCTGCTCCTCAAACAGGGTCATATTTCAGGAGGACGGAAGCATAAAAAATAGAGTCACAGGTTTGAGGACAGGTAGTTTGATGGATAAAGTAACATGGTTGATATGAAGGACTACAAGCTTAGAGTAGAAGCATAATATTGAATAAATTGTCACATTTTTGATGAGTAGGCTTCAAAAAGCCTCATCTTCAAAAGTGGGTC